TCCCGAGTTTATTCATGGTGCCCAGCCCCTGCCGGCCCTGGCAGCTGTTACTTGGGTTTCATTTATAAAAATAAGGCTGGAGAGGAGGAATAGAGTATTGTTCAATCCCCGAGCACCACAAATTAGTAAAGAAGTATCGGTAGCTTTGGCTGGCATCCAGTTTTAGATCGGCTGGGTTATTTCAGCAAAAGGCAACAGCTCGCCATAGGAGGTGCTTAGGGGATCATTGGCAGATACCTCAGCCCACCCTCTGGGCCTTTGAACAGTGCTCATCTAGACCACTGTCCATGTCTGGCATTGTTAATTTACGTATTGACCTATGGCTCCATCAGGAAGATGTGTGTCTGAACTTAGGAGCTTATTTCAGTGATCTGTGTAATACCTTCTGCCCTATGGAATTTATTCATATCCATTTTCAAGGTCTGGGGAGGGTATGGAAAGGTGGGCCAGGATTTGAGCCAGCACTAAAGACTGAGCATTTCTGAGCTACCGTTTCTCAAAACAGTGGAATAATAACAACAGTGTAACACTAGCAACATCCTCGAAGTTGTTCTGTGGTTTGGAGCAAGGTAGGGTAGGAATCTTGGATGCTGGGGGCGGGAGGAGGAGGGGGACGGTGGGGGACAGGGACATGTATGTGAAGCGCCATGCATGAACAACTACCATTCAGAGAACAGCTCTGAGGCAGGAAAACAGGGCAAGAAGTCATGTCTCCATTTTACAGAGAAGGAATCTGAGGTCCAGTGGGTTTCTTTGGCTTTCTCAAACAGTGTCTGTACTTGGAGAAAAATTCTCTGGTGTTAGAACTTTGAAAGAAAAGGGAGGTGAATGTGGTCATTCAGGTAGCCCTGGCCTGGTGGGCCTGGGGTATGGGAGAGGACCAGTAGATCTGAAAGGATTTGCAGAATGAGAGGAGAGGGCTGGCCCCGCCATTCACTATGGGGTTCTATTTTCAAGCGTGGTACTTAGCACACCGTCCCTGAATCCCCTAATAAGCTTCTGTCTGCCCCTCTACTTATTCTCTAATGCAGTGAGAAAATGCCTGATGCTGGGTCTTGTATAAAGAAAAGAGGTTTACTTAGCTCACAGAGGGGGAGGGCCCCAGAAGAAGCCAGCCTCTGCTCAGCTCTGTTAGGGTCTTTCTGCCAATAGCACAACACGGTATCGTAGTGGGAAGGTAAATGGGAAAGAGACCATTTGGTGACACAGGAAGACAAGGAGCAATCAGATGCCTGGTATGCTTTATTTATTTATTTATTTATTCATCCATCATGGGGCTTGAACTCTGGCCTTGGGGGCTGTCCCTCAGCTCTTCAGCTCAAGGCTTGTGCTCTACCATGTGAGCCTTGAGCTGAGCTGCTTGCGGTTTTCTGGTGGTTAATTGGAGGACTTTCCTTCCTGAGCTGGCTTTGAACTGTGATCCTCAGATCTCAGCCTCCTGAGTAACTAGGTAATCCACAGGTGTGAGCCACGGGTGCCTGGCAGTATGCTCTTTTTATAACAGTTCATTTCCACAAGCAAAAAAATCCTAAGTCACTTTTCAAGACCAGCATGAATCTTCCAAAGATGACGATGCCTTTATGACTTAATTATCTCTTTAGGCTCCATCTCCTAAAGGTGCCACTACCTCCCAACACTGCCCCCTTCTGGGACCTATGGGGAGTACACTCAAATAATTTCCAAACCACAAATCACAGGTTCCTACATCCAAGTCCTACATCAGCCATCCATTCTTTCTAGCAGCCAGATCCCCTGTAATTTTTCAAAGACCTTATCTAAAACGTAATAGGGCTTTCCAGGGACAATACATAGCAAGAATGCATCCTCAGAATATGTTTTTGTTTTGAATTCCATTCTCAGCAGTAGCTTAAATATTTTCTGATTGGGGGAACAGAAGAAGGCCTAGCAAATAAATCAAATTGTATCCACTTAGCTGTTCTTTCTCTTGATCTTCAATTTTACACATTTTACACCTTTGTGTCTGGAAAGCCCTTCTGCAGGGCCCCTGGTGCTCTTGAACACAGGTTCAGGAACAAAACCCTAAAGACAAAATTCCAGCTAGGCCTGAGCCATTGGTTGGCGCTCAATGTGTGGGCGTGGGGTTTTCCCCTCATGAACTCTGTCACTGAGCACTCGATTACTGCGTGCTGGACGCAAGGATCTTGAAATCAGTGTTCCCAAGGGCCCCTCAGTGGGTCAGGGAGGAGGACAGTTGGAGCAGCAGGTTATAACCAGGACATAAATCCTTACCCTGAGGCTGAATAGAGAGCCCTGAGGGGTGGCTGGGGGTAAAGGGTGGGGATCGCAGGTGTGTGTGTGTGTGAATAGTCACTCCACAGAGTTAGAAGGTGGCTTACACTCTGTCTGTCATACCCTTCTGCTTCAGGAGCTATAAAACTTGAACCTGCTGGACTTTTGGGTCATTCCAGAGGTAACTTTTGCACATTTTTGCCAATACCATGTGCTAATTACTAATTTCATATTGTTTCCCAAGGGCCTGGCTGAGCCAGCAGCTTCGGGATGCTGACCTTTCTTACTGACAGTTTCTTCCTTTTTTTATTTTTCTTTGTCATTCTTGGGGTTTGAACTCAGAGCCTGGGAGCTATTCCTGAGCTCTTCTGCTCAAGGCTAGCACTCTACCACTGTGAGCCACAGTGCCACTTCCAGTTTTCTGGTGGTTCATTGGAGTCACAGGCTTTCCTGCCTGGGCTGGCTTTGAATCCCCAGCCTCAGATCTCAGCCTCCTGAGTAGCTATAATTACAGCTGTGAACCACCAGTGCCTGGCTTAGTTTAGTTCTCTCTCTTCTCTCTCATTTCTTGAGGATTCACCAAGTGTAAGGTGTGCAGTAACAGAATAAAGCCTGTCTCCTAGGAGCAGGATGGGTGAAGGAGGCTGCTCACCTGCTCACTGGGATGTTGTTGCTGTTGTAATTGTTTTGTGGTGCTTGGGATGTGACCAGGACCTTGTGGGCATGCTAGGCAAGTGCTGTATCCAGAGCCACATCTGCAGCCTACCTGAGGTTGGTGGAGCTGAGCGCTCGCCGCCTGAGCCAGGAAAGAGCATAAGGCAGAGTTGGGCCAGAGTTGGAAATCTCTTTCTAGTGCAAGTCCCCATTGACCTAAAGACCTCTGCTCAGGTCCTCTCGCCTTCTTCCTGTAAGCACTACCCTGGGGTTCGGTCTTTCGTTTATTTCTGTACAGTTTTGTAGATTTTTATTGTTACAGGTTAATACATTGAAAACGACAGCGTTTATGTCCTAGGTATTTTGTTGTGTGTTCTACCTGGAAAAGCACCCTTGCCAACATTTTCTTAGTTCTTGTCCCAACAGAGTTCAAGAAGCTCTTGGCTCACGTATTTCCAGGAAACCACGAGAACTTTTCCACTTCCCTTCAGAACGCTGTGTCGAAATTACAGAAGAGAAAGCCAGAGAGATCCCAAGTCGATCTCACTGTGCGTTTCGTGGGTCTGACTTTGAAATGCTTCCAGTACACAACTGGGGTAAAAGATCGACTCATTGATTGACTGTTTTTATTTTTTGCAGTGCTGGGGATAGATGCTTAGGGGCTCACGCATGCTAGCCATGGGCTCCACCACTCACCCCCAGATGCAGCCTGCAAAATGGGTCCGAAGTTGTCAAAACATGCTCAGTGCTGGGTGTTGGGGACTTGCGGCTGCCCTCCTAGCTACTCAGGAGGCTGAGATCTGAGAATTGCAGTTCAAAGTCAGCCTGGGCAGGAAAGTCTGTGAGACTCTTATCTCCAATTAACCACTAGAAAACTGGAAGTGGTGGTAGAGCACTAGCCTTGAGCAAAAGAGCTCAGGGACAGTACCCAGGCCTTGGATTTTTCCAATCCCTAGGATTGGGGGGAAAAATCATGGTGTGTTAGGGATTTTTGCAGCTTCCTAACCATCACTACCATCATCAGCTGTATGAACATTTCCATCAGCCCAAACAAATCCCTCACCTTTAGCCAGGACCTTCTCCTACCCAACCCTTCTAGTAATCCTCTTCTTATCTCTATAGATATGTCTGCTTTGAGTATTTTGTTGCTGTGTTTTCAAATTCATCCACCTTATACCGTATGTATAAGGAGTGCTACACTCACTCCTTTTATGTTGTTGTTGTTGTTGGTCTTGGGGCCTGAACTCTGGGCCTGGGCGCTGTCCCGCAGCTCTTCGGCTCAAGGCGAGCACTCTACCATTTGAGCCACAGCACCACTTCTGGCTTTTTCTGCTTATGTGGTACCGAGGAATCGAACTCAGGGGCTCATGCATGCAAGGCAAGCGCTCTACCACTGAGCCACCTCCCCAGCCCACACTCACTCCTTATGGCTGAATAATATTCCATGGTGTAGATGAACCACATTGCATTTGCCTATCTACCAGTCAGTGGCTATTTGGGTTTTCCCACTTTTTTGGCATCATGCATTGTGCTTCATTAATGTCTTCCTCTCATTCAGTTCTCTGTCACAGGAGTGTCTGTGATCTGGGCTGACCGTATGGTCCTAGTATTGTGGATCTTAATCTGTGTGTGATGTCGTAACCTGGGTACCTGAATGTTACAGCAGGAATATCTGAGACTGAGCAATTTGTAAGGAACAGAGATTTATTTGTTCCAATTGTAGAGACTGAGAAGTCTAAGACCAAAGGCAGAGGGATGGCAGAGCCACAGGGTTCCAGCCTCCTTTACAAAAACCCCGTCTCAAGGCTACAAACCCTCTACCATGATGACAACATGAATCCCAGCCCTCTTGGCCTAATCAGTTCTTAAAGATCCCACCTCTCAACACTGTCACATTGGGGACTCAGTATCCAACCCATTGAAAATCCTAACATATACCCTGAGAGAGATGAAGCAGGCTTAGAAGCATCAAGGACTGTGCCCAAGGCCACACAGCACGTCGTGGGTCTTGTTGGGCCCACTACCTCTCAGTCTGCTAGCTCCTGTGGGAGAGAAGTCACTCAGTAAAAATCTCTTTTCTTTTACAGATTTTCTGAATGGTCTTGCTCCTTTTCCTCTCTTGCCTGATTTTCTCCTGCCTGACGTTTTCCTGGTTAAAAATCTGGAGAAAAATGACAGACTCCAGCCCGGTGACCAACAGTAAGTTGGAAGCGAGTCTCATCCTGAATCAGGAGCCCATTCCAGCCTCAGACAACTCAGAGGAGCAGCTGCAAACAAATGATAGTGACAGCTCCCAGCCAAAGACTCCTAAACAGGCCAAGCCGGCCTCCCATAAAAGCCCCAGCGATGCCTGTCAGCAGGAAGACTCTCAGACCCCACATTCTTCCCATGACACCTGGCCCACCCCAGAACTGCAAGTCAATGGGACAGGGACCCAAGGCCCAGAGCCCCCAGATACCTACGGCCTGTCCTCCCCAGCCAAGCCCCAGGGCCAGCGAGCCAGATCCCCAACCAAAGAGGACAAGAAGCAGGCCCACATTAAGAGGCAGCTCATGACCAACTTCATCCTGGGCTCCTTTGATGACAACTCTTCCGATGAAGACTCTGGCGCTGGCATTTTACGAGAGTCTTCTCGAAAGGGCAGTCGGGCCAGCCTGGGCACCCTGTCCCCAGAGGCTGCTATGATTGCAAGCGAAGCTGACACCCTTCTGCCAGCTATGAGGTAAGAGCGGCCATTCTCTTCTGTGTGATGCAAAGCCAATAGTCAAGGTAGCTGTGTTTAAAAAGAAGGAGGAGACGGACCAGAGGATGTGAACCCTGCCTCTTTGTTCACTGCGTGGCTGGGTAGAAATCTGGTGTTCTTTTTTGTTGTTGGTTGTGAGGCTTGAACTCAGGGCCTGGGCGCTGTCCCTCAGCTCTTCAGCTCAAGGCGAACGTTCTACCACTTGAGCCACAGCGCCACTTCCAGTTTTCTGGTAGTTAATTGGAGATAAGAGTCTCACTTTCCTGCCTGGCCTGGCTTTGAACTGCGATCCTCAGATCTCAGCCTCCTGACTATAGTCTGTTGCTCTCCCCTATCATTTTGAGGTCTCCAGTTTCTCCAGAACAAAAGGGAACCCAGGGATTTTGGCTGATTCTCCCAATCCTTTCTCCATTTTAAAGACTGAAAAGTAAGGGCTCAGGTGGGCACTGGTGGCTCATGCTTCAGATCTGAGGCTAGCAGTTCAAAGCCAGCCTGGGCAGGAAAATCCATGAGACCCTGATCACCAGTGAACTACCAGAACACTGGAAGTGGCGCTGTGGCCAAAGTGGTAGAGTGACAGGAGGAGCAAAAGAGCTCAGGGACAGTGCCCAGATCCCAAGTTCAAGCTCCATGACCACCACCAACAACAAAAAAGAAAATGAAAAAAGACTGAACACTAAGGGCTGGGGAATTGGGGTAATCCTGGGGTATTCATCCAGTGCTCTGCCCTCCTTATAGGAATTACAACAAAAACAACCAAAGGGCAATGTGTGCTTGTGAGTCTGCCTTTCATGGTTTCCCAAGGGAGCCCTCTGGGTTGTTCTGTCCTGCAAGGCCAGCTTCCAACCACCAGCCTCTTCCTGATGCTCCCTAGTAGGAGACTAGCAAGCATGGATGGAAAATGCCCGTGTTAAAGCTTGCGTCCTGGGCACAAGCTTTCTCTGAAGCCATCTTTAAAGGGACCTTTTTCTTCCTCCTCCATCCTCACTCTCACTGAGACTCAGCCTCAGTCCTCTCTTTGGGACTGTGTACCTGCTGCTACCACTAAACTCAGTGAAATGCCCTTTTATGTCTCAAACTCCCATCATGGCCAACTGGTCTACCTTGCACTGAGAAGGATCACATGCTCTGCACCCACCATCTTACAATTCTTCACTGTTGACTAAGGAGCAAGGTCTTCAATTTGTGTTTTTCCCTGGATGCTGGAAATTCATTAGAGGGTCCTTCTATCCAGAATTACCTCCTCTGATGGGCCTTCCCTGTCACTGCCCCACCTTTAAAATATGCCCCCATCCCAGCCCCTCATTTCATTATTGCTCCAGTTTTTGTGTTTTGTCTCCCTCCTGGAGAGTATGTCTGTACTTATTTGTTTTATGCTGGTTTCCTTCCTTCTTACACTGCTGGGCAAAGTCCATGAATTCAGGGCTAGGTTGGCAATGGTCTGTTTATTTCCCCACTGCTTTGTCTATTACAGACTATGAAATGCATGAATGAAGTGAGCAATGTGGGCTTGCCTCACCAAATCCTGTATATCAGGATGTGAAAAACACTTGAACAAGTATGGAGATGGATGGGTGGATGGATGGATGGATGGATGAAGAAATGGATGAAGGATGAATAGATGAATGGGCCTCTTGCTGGTCTTTAGCAACAGTAATATTTTATTCCCATAAAAGCTTTCTTGCATATATTGTATAACTTTGTAGACTATCCTGGAGTTAAGTTCCAATTTTAGGAGTTAAGCTGCAATTTTGGGTTTTTCTTTTGTCTTTAATATCATTACAGGAAGTCAAAGTTTCTCCCTTTTTCTCACCCGATGAGTGCTGGCTACCATTATGGACTTTGTGTACTCTGTTCTGGTTTCTCTTAGAAGAGAAACCTTCCCTTGGGTTCATCTCAGGTCAAGCGTTGAGAATGTCCTGTCCTGTCCTTGGTCTTGGAAAGGATCTTTGAGGGTTAGAACTCCCATACAACTCTTAGAAATGGAGCTGAAGGGAACATGACAGGATGTAGCAAAAGAGTTGCTCACACAGTCTCTGAAAGGAGGTCTCCCCCCCAAGCCTGCTGTTCAGGATGGTCCTGCCCTGTGAAAGAAGCATCAGTAAGCTCTGAGATGCCCAGGTCCAAAGTCTCTTCTCACCATCTTGTTTCCCTAGCAGCTTAGGATGCACACTGCTGCAGGGTAGGCAACCCGGGACAGGGTAGGCTCAAGATTACTCGGAGCTAGTATTGAAGCTTATAAAACTCAAGGTTCTCTATAACTGGTGAACTTTTTCACTGATGAAACCTGTCCCGAATCCGTGTGAATTATTTAAGAGTCTTTTGATTCCTTTTGCTTGTGTGAATATTTTTCCTATTTTCTGTTGCTGAAATACTAACATGGATACAGAGTATAAAATTTCATCTTCCTAAAAAAAAAATTCCATGTTCTGAAACTCCTTGCAGTTTCAGTAAAGGACTGGGGACTGTAATGTTCAGTCTGGAAACACAGAAAATGTTTCAACTTACTTGTATGTGTAGTAGGGGGAGAGAGGGAGGGAGAGAAAGAGAGGGGGAGGTCCCCAAATAGTTAATAATCATTATGTAGGAGTCGAAGACCAGCCTGGGAAACAGAGGGTTAGGGAAAAAAAAAAAGGAAACAAGATGGCTCTCATGCTCTATGCCCATGTAAATGAAATCCCTTTCCTGAGGCCCTGGTGGCATTAGCTGTGTCCGTCACCTTTCAGGACCTGGTGAGATTAGGTGTGTCAGTCACCGTTAAGGACCTGCTGGAGTACAGTGTGTCAGTCCTTCTGGCTGTATTCCAGGGCAGAGTTTGGAAGAAGAATAAAAATCTAGAACAATACAAGGAAACCAGCCCTCTTCTATTTGGGTTTGAGTAAGGCAGGAATGCTTTGCAATTATCTTCATTTCCCTTTTAGTATTTGTTTGAAATTAATTTAAAAAAAACACGATAAACAAAACACCTTAGCTGATGAATGATGGTTGTGTGTAGGTAATCCCTGAACTCTAGAGTTCTGTCTAAATAAACCAAAAAGAAAAAAAAAATCGCCCTAAAGAGGGTTTTTTTTGGGGGGTGGGGTAGGTGGGAGGTCAGGTGAAGCTACTATCCTAGAGAGCTTTCTAGAAACAGTTACTGCAATGTTATTTAAGAGCTTGTGGGTGTGGCAGGGATTGCTGTTCACTTTGTGGTATGAATTTAGCACTCCCTCAGGCGTGGCCCTGGTGGTTCTTCTGCAGGGAATTTTATCTTTTGGGCCAGTATTCGCGGGTTTTTTTTTCTTTCTTGCTTGCTTTTATGAACATAGGTTATGTGTCATTATTATGATTAAATATTTTTATCGCGATCTTATTGATTTATTTTACTGTGCTTGAGATGGTGCTAAATAAAAAGTGTAGCAGACCTTAGGCAGACTTCGTCAAACCCGGGTGCATCTCTTGATAGTTCTACCGTGCTTTAGGCAGGGGTTGGTTTGGGTCTTTGTCCTTCGTTATATTGCTGGAAGAAGGAACCTTCTGTCCTTCCTTCCTTCCTTCCTTTGTGTATTGGGAATAAACTGGATCTTAACCTCGGTCGGAGTCTATTTAGGATCGGGGGCGAGAGAAGGAGAGCGGGAGAAGGAGGAGAGGAAGGTGCGGCAAAAACCTACCCCTGGGGGTCGAAGTGAAAAAATCAGCCAAGACGGGAGTTTGGAAGCCAGAAGTTGACCTGGCAATGCGGGCTCTCATTTGCAATGTCTCCCATCGCGTGCGTGTGTGTGAATAGGGCCACATGTAGGGGTAGGCAATCTTTAATTCTGTTTTAAATGGAGCAGGAGAGCAAAGGCGGGGAGTTTTTTAATTGTTCTTCCTCGGGTGCTCAAGGTCAACCGCGGTCAGCCATGGGGAGGCGGGGCAGGGCTGGAGTGGCGCAGGGGGCGTGGCCTACACCAGGGGCGTGGCCTGCCCCGGGGCGGGGCTTTGGTGGGCGTGCCTTCCCGGGCGGGGCGGGGCGGAGCCAGGGCGGGCACATGGGTCCCCCGCGCAGGCTTGTGCAGGGGGGGGCATTTCGGGATGGAGCAGGCGCAGCACCGAGTTGGATGTCCGCCCGCAGTCGCCAGACGCGGCCTCAGGCGCTTTAGGACAGTGCCTCGGCCTCTCGGTCGTGACCCGGCTACCCTGATGGGCCTCAGGGCTGGGGTCCGCTTTAAGGGCTTCAGGGGTGCGTGCTCTGCGCCCCTGCAGGAGCCGGGTGGGATTGGCCGGCGGGTCGGTCAACATGAGCCCGGCCAAGTGCAAGGTCTGCTTCTCTGATCGCCCCGAGAAGTAAGTAAGCCTGCAATTTTTTGTGACTGTTGCTTCTTACAAACTCATGCAAGCCCCCTTCCCTCCAAGTCCCAGGTCAGGCTGTATGTGCTCTTAGCACCCCCTTTTCCTTTGCCCCCCCCTCCCCAACCAAAGAAATACAAGCTTAACTTCGGCTGTTGGGCAGATGGAACCCACTTTGCAAACTCTGTCAGGCCTTGGCTGGAGCAGGAGGAGGAGGCCAGACCTGACTTTTTGAAATGGAAACCCTGGGGAGACCCGGACTGGAGGCTGGCATTCCTATGGAAGCGCGTTTTCTGATCAGACTCATAGGCATCTCGGAGTCCCTGAGCGTCTTAGTCCCACCCAGACATGATTTTGCCTTTTTCTTTTCATTTTGTTATACTTTTAAACTGTTGCCAAAGTGATGCTGTATTTGCTGTTAGAAATTCAGAAACTCAGAGATAAACAGAAAGGAGGAATGTGAGTCACCATAATTCCTCCTCCAGTGACCCACAGTGGTGTGTCTTTGTAGTGGTAGGTGCAGAGGTTTTAATGTATAAAGTTGAATCATGTTCCCAGCACTGATGGCTCATGCCTGTAAGCCTTACTACTCAGGAAGCTGAGATCTGAGGAGCAAGGTTCAAAGACAGCCTAGGCAGACATCTCTGAAAGACTCTTATCTCCACTTAGCA